TAGTACGGGCACAATTTTATCGACGTCACTCCCCATCAACATTTTCTACATTCATTTTTTTTTTTTTTAAAGAATCTCTTCATTTGATATCCGGATTTAAACATTTGATATCGAATTACTATTATGACAAATTCATAATGACAGAAACTAAATCAGAAAGTAATTCACATGGTAATTCAATAAGTAATTCACATGGCAATACTATATTACTATTTTCCAGAACTTGTACAATTCACATTTCACAAATCACAGATTTACAATGACAGAGTAAGCAACTCACAGTCACAAAGGCAACAATACTTGAAGGAACTTGAAGTCTGATAGCAAAATCAATTGAAGAGCAATGTGTTGGCAGTGGCTTCGAGTAATTGAAGAGCAAAGTGCTAATTTTATATGTCAAAAAGTAATAAAAAAAAATCAAACATTATTACAATTTACACAAATTAAAATAACAAAAAATAAGAAAAGAAAAACGAGTATATGATTCGGATTCGGGGCTTCACCTTCTTCTGCTGTTGCAAAAGAATCGCCGCGGCTGCCTAGTCTACTATTGTCCAGGGCTCGAAAAGCCGAACGGGGATGGAGTAGGCGAGCTACCAGCAACAACGAAAATTGAATGGGGGAGGAAGTAGTGGATATTGAGCGACGGGAGGCGACGACGGAAACTTAGCGGAGCCGAAACTGGGAGGAGGAGGAGGCGGAGGGCTGGAGGATTGGATATTGATTTTCTTGAAATTGAAATCAAATGATAAGTTTTAATTGGTAATTCTCCAATGGATCTAATGGTGATATGGTATTAGGTTGAATATGAATGGTATTGGGCTTCAATTGTTGGTTACATTGTAGTCATTAGTTTTTTTAAAGTGGAAATTACACCATTCCCTATTTTTCAAGATCTATATTCTAAAATCAGATATGACGTTTAAATTTTCAAAAATCAGATCTTTTTAATTAGATACATTATAATTATATATATTATAGTTATATAATATNNNCCAAACCCACCATAATTATTTCATCTCATTTTCTCTCCTCTCTCTATCCCCGGCGCCACCTCTCTAGCTACACCACCACCTCCATCACAAGTCGTTTCGGTGACCCTACACCACGAAACTCCGATTTCATCTCCGCAGCGCATCCAAACTCCACATTAAACCCAAATCTATTTTCTCATACCTCCCCACTTTCCTTCCCGAATTTCTGCAGATAGAGCACAGGACCAGCTGCATAGTGGACATAGCCATTGGATGAAAATAATAAAAAATAAGAATAGACTCCATAGCTGATTTTTTTTTTTTTTTTTTGTAGTAAACCAAAATTCGTTTGCGGATTTCTTTCCATACATCTTCCAGGCTCCAGCGGCACTGTCACAGCATTTGGAGGACTGAGGTAAATCGTTTTTTTATTTTTTTAGCTGTAATTTCAATAAGTAATTATAACATGTATTTAATCTTTAGGTTTTTTTTAGCTGCTATTAATCTTTTGTGAAATTTGAATGTTCTTTACCAATTACAATAGTCTATTTTAATTTCACTTTTTTTTGGTTATATTTTGTTATGATTTTACAGTATTTTGTGCGTGCATGCGGTGGTGGGTGTCGGGCGTGCCGACGATATGGGGTTGGAGGTGACTGTGATTATTTTGTGCGTGTAATCGAGTGTGACCAATTAAAATTGTGATTGTGA